GTAATTTAAACTTATATTTGGATTTACTTAATTAATTGTTAGGGGAGAGGAGAATTTCGAACCAATACCTTCTTTTGAGAGCCGCTTGGACCTCAAGTCGATCTTTGTAACGAATTGAGTGGAAGGAAATCTGGTCTTCCAGTTTAGCCAGGTTGAATTTTCTATGCTTACACAATTTCGAAAGCTGAGCAGCCAATTTTATTACAAATTATAATTAACCTTGCAATATTCCCATATAAAATTGGCTTTTGCATTTTAATGGCAATTGCTTTTAATTTTCTAACTTAACTTTCTCTATACCGCACATCATTTTTTGTTCTCTTACTCTTATTAATTAATTGCATCTGTTGTTATTTATTTGTTCGCCGAAGCGTCACAGAGCTGTGCCCATTGTTCATTGTTTCTAACTCCTAAGTCAACTCGGGCCTGCCTTAATTAAATTATGTCCCTTTCTGCCTCTTTCCCAAGCCAACAATGGCTGTCATAATGAAGCAACTTGTACCGCATTTCTGTTCCGGCGGAAGTGCGCGAAGTTTGCCACAGCTTCGACCCTTTTACCTAGGTAAAAGGTCATACGAGGAAGTGTGTGTGCGTGTGCGTGTGTGTGTGCGTGTAAGTGTAAATATTTACATACGACGTGTTATCAAAAAAGAGAAAGCATTTCTGTGTACGGGCCAGCAAAAACAGGACTCGACCTGGCCAAACTTTCCATGCAAATCAGTTAGAACAGGCCGTGAAACATTCTTCTCTCTCTTTTTTTCTTTCTCCAACTTTTCAATATTTTTTGTTTTGTGCATGTTTTTTTTTTCATTTTTGTTGAGTATGCAAATTGAATTTAAGCAATTGCCACACACTTTGCTCTAGTAAAAGCAATTTAGCAATTTTTAAATATTTTATGGCCACAACTTTTGGTAACATACTTCATGCTCTTTACTTATTTATTTTCACAAAGGTAATTATTTTTTCTAACATTATTTAAAGCTTTATTTTATTTTCATTTTGACTCTGCATAATAAAATGTATTTGACTTTGCCAACAGTCAGGTAACTTTTTCGAGAGTGCTTGAAGATACCCTGTAATGTTGATGCCAATGACAAGAACTTTTCTGTGATTTTAATTGCATTTGTTTCTAATCAAATTTCTGTAGCAAGTTTTCAATCTAAAAAACGTATTTCAATCTTAAAATGTATTATTATTTAAGATTTTCACATGTAGAGAATACCTCAGCAAAAAAATATAAACATATAATATATATATGACTTCATTTGCCATTCACTTCATCTCTCTTCAGCTCTCTATGTCTCTTTAAAGTTGAGCCATGAATTATTCATGAGTTTCGTATACATAGCAAATGGGGCACAGCTCAGCAAAATCTTTCAAAGATTGCTAAACATTGTTCGGGCTGTGGGTTAAGAGACAAATTCAGCTTAGCCTTCGCTCATGCCATGGCTGGCAATAATAAACAGATTAAATAATGAAAAGTTTATGAAAGGCGATTAGCATACAATGCAAAACAATGTAGAGAAAGCGCAAAGCAAATTACGCAGATAATTGCCAAGTATTTTTGTGATGGACGCAACACGTAAAAGCTTATTTACAAGACATTCCCCGGCCAGGAATGATATTCGAGATCAATTAGGCTTTATAAATAGCCAAGCGCTTAATGGCAGCTCCAGCGCCCACCTTTCAGCTGCCTCCTTTTCGCAATTCGTAGCCTCGCAAATTTACGAGTTTTACGGGCCATTATCGCTTTAATAATTTAGTTGGAAAAAAGCAAAGCAAACCGACCCAAATGCCACATGGTAAAGCAGCGCACCCGAAACTAAATGTGCAAAAGGAGAACTGGAAACTGGAAAGTGAAAATGGAAATGGTAAAGAAAATTGCAAGCAAATTGCGCTGAAAATGCGAGCGAATGGCTGCATTTGAGAGAGCTGCAAATGAGCCGCAATACAATTTAAATCAAAATAAACTGAGATTCATAATTTCCAAAGATCCGCTTAATTTTCATCTACAAACACCTCGCATAATCAAGAGCAGCGCAGCACAGCCAGAGGCCCAAAGGATACACGCACAGGACATTGAGTAGCCTTGGCATGACTGCTGAGAACAGACAAATATTTTTTTCCTGGAAATATTACCATGGTTTTCTTCCCTTTTTAATTAAAAAAAAAAAGCCAAGCCCAAGCACCTGAGAGCAAACAGCACAAAAAGGATAACGAACGTCTGGGCATGGACAGCGCAAAAATTGCGATTGCGAAAAGACTGCGCTAATTAAAAATTTGCGTTGGCCGCCGCTTAAAGACATCAGCCGTTTTTCTAGGCCGTGAAAAATTAATAGCATTTTTAAATAGACTTAAGGCACTTGCATAGCTCTGCTTTACTTTCCATTATTTTTTATTCTCTACCCTGGAGCCATAGAGTGTGGACACAATAGCGAATTATATTGCTGTTGTTTTTCTTACAGTATAAAAATAGCTCAAGGTAAGAACAATGGGCACGTCGTCATCCGCTAATTACTCTATTTGTGAGCTAGTCGGACCATTAACTAATTGAAAAGTGGATTAAATTAATTTAGATAAATGAATAAACAGATATTATAATTTACTCAATAATAAATAAATAATATATGCTGGATATAGGAGGGAATTGAATTCGATTCGATATAAATGCTTGATTTGAATTAAGAAGTGAATCCTCGCATCTGCAGGGTATCCGTAGGCTAATCTCTCACCTTTTAGCTTGTGTTTTTGTTTGAGCAGCGGCTGCCATTTATATACCTAAGCTCTAGAAATTAATTAAACGCTCGCTTCTTGACAAGGTCATGGGGCTAACTGCGTTCTTTTGGCGCTGGCTTAAAAGAAAAATCAACAGAATGAAATTTCACTTTCTTTTTTTGGCTAGAGCGGAATACTTTTCAAGGCTTTTGTTGCTCAGGCTTCGGCAAATGCTGCGTGTATAAAATTAAGCAATTAAGCAAATAGTTTTCGATACAGTTTTGCAGTTTGAGCAGCCAATTAAAAGCGGAAGAGAATTTTGTCTTAAAACGTTAATTTATTCAAGCAGCGCATTAGCAGGCAACAAAGAGAGCAATCTGAAGCTGAAGCAGTCGCCCGCTCGATAGCCATTCAATCAGCTTAAATCATTTTTATGGCTCAAGTCCGAAATTGATTCCCGGCCAGGCATTGGGTAGCCGAACAGCCTGCCACGCCCACACGTTGTCACTGTTTTTGCAGGGTAGACAGACAAGCTAGAGGCCATAAATAAAGTTGATGTGGATGTGGATAGGGAAGTGGCCGTGCATGCTGGAATATTTTAAATACAACAATTAAATGCAAATACCGAAAAACACAATAAGCAAAAATAAAACTCTATGAAAGCTCGCCCCTTCACTTCCGCCCATCCAGCCAATATCCTGGCAAACGTTGAGCGGAGCCTGCCGCAGCAGCTGCAGAGCAAGCACAACAATTCCACGATTGGGCAGGCCATCAACAACGCTTTTTTTTCCCGATGCTAGCGCAAATATTTTTGAGCGGCAAAAAAACAAGCAACAGTCCGTCTGAATATATGGACTATGGCCACGCCCCAAGACCAGCAAAGCAATTGGCAATGAGCAAAAAAAAAAGAAAGAAAAACAGAGGGAGAGAGAGAGAAATATTTATATATATAAAAGGTTGTATAAGCTGTGGGGTTGCCCATGATGCGTGTGGTCAGGAGGAGGGGCGCATGGGCTGAAGTAACAAATTGGCTTACGCAGGGCACGAAATTCACTTTAATATAATTTCAATTATTTAAGTGAAAGCATATTTTTAATGCGCTTTATTGCCAATTTTCGTTTAACAAAGAAAACTTGAACGTTAAATGCCATTTTACCAGATGCCCCTCACACACACACACACACACAGCATATATACAGGTTTATACATATGTATGTGCATGTTATATATATATGAGTCTTAACTTCTTTGCTTGGGCTGGAGATGGACAATATGAAGCTGTGTGTCTGAGCTGGGCTACGTTGGATTACATGCACTAAGTACCAAACAATTAACGCAGTGACTAAAAATATATATAAAATAAGTAAATTAAATATTCATACTTGAAAACTATATTTTGTAATAAATGAAATGAAAAAATAAATGTAACATAAATAATTTTAATCTCTGCATACACAATATTTAAATTGTTAATGTAATTTTTCACAAAGCTACAAAAATTAGATTACATAAGAATATTTAAATATTTAACATTAGTAAATAAATTATTTTTTATTATAAATATTTTTTTAAAATATTTGAATTATTTTATAATTTTTTTAAAGGTTAAAGTTGTAAAATATATTTTTTTTTAAATACTAGTTTTAAAATATTTTATAAAATAATAATTAAAATTTAGAAGAAGAATATACTTTAAAAATGTATTGTAGAAAATTATTTTAAATATTTCATTAAATTGATAAGAATGTTTGATAAATTTAATTAAAATATCATAAAATGAGTTAAACAATTTTATAAACTTAATTAAAATATATTAAAAAATAAATTACATTTTGAATACCATTTACAATTCTTAGTCCTGAGTATTCTCCCCCCCTTATGCAATGCATAAAATCACAATTTTTGCCCATCACTGTCACTGTCACTGTCTGCGAGAATCACAGCATTGCGTCCATCGCTATCTGACAAGTATTTTCCTCTGCTTTTATTTTATTTTTTTTTTACTTTTCCATTTTTGCTTTTTTGGCTACTTTGGCAAATTGCGGTCAACACAAACAAAAATATGCTCTTTGTGCACATACCCAGACCAGCTAGGCCACCTCTGGGGCAGGCTTTGTAAATTTTGCTTGCAAAATAAACGCTTAACAAATATTCGTTTGGGTTAAAACTATGCTTTATTATTGCATGCTTGCGCTGAAAGTAGATATTTTATTTTTTGTTAAATTATTTTCGCCCACTTGCGAAAATGCAATTAAGTTACCCCCAATGCCCCCTCGTGGGGCCACGAGCGGACTTCTTAATTGCAAAGTTTTAGCTAAATTTTTGTGATTTATATGGAATGCATTCGGGAAAGTAATTTGGCCATGCATTTTGACCTGCTTCATTGGAGTGCTGTGCGGCATGTTTGGATTTGGCACAACTCGATAGAAGCAGCCGCTTTGGGCTTTTTCAACGATTTTCTCATTTTCATTTTTTTCGTATATATTTTTCTCTCTTTTTGAATTGTGAACGTGACCAGGGAACTGTTATGGAGTGCAGCCAAGCAATTCGATTATTGTTGAAGTAACAGGAACTGAAATGGGCAAAGCTATCGAGAGAGCCTTGACAGCATTTCCCAGCAGCCGAAGAAAATGCGAGCGATAGGAGGAAAAATCCGAAATTCAACTAGCCCTTAGCAACTCAGACTGGCTAAGTGTGAATGAATGATAAATATTTAATTTCGTTAAGAAATATTTAAAAAAAAAAGTATATCAAATATATGTAATGTATGTATATCTCCTTATCCCTTTTTCATTTCGCAATTTATTTTTCTCTTTAAATAAAATGTATATTGAGTGTAAAGTCGCTGCCTCTTATATGTCAACTCTGCCAGGCTGTCATATCCTTATGAGACACATTTCTGCCGGCAGAAGGTCGAAGAAGTTGCACCAAAGCAGACAGTATACGACTGGTTAATGCCCTGTAATAAATCGAAGATGATTTAATATTGATATAGAGCTAATTTTATTCACATTGTGAGATTAACCTATATTTAAGATAAATTTGAAATAAATACTAATTTTAATATATTAATGAAGACTATTTTCTAAAATATAATGCATTCAACGCAGTTTGTGTACCCAGACAAGCTGTCTAAGATTTGTCTGCCACTCAATCATCTCAGCTCCCATTCGATTCAGCTCTTTGCGGGGTATTGAAAACCTCAAGTATTGCCACGGATATTACGCTTGCTGTGCGGAAGGGGAAGTGTTGCCAGCGCATATTTAATTCATTTCCCATCAATTTCATTTCCTTTACATCCTTTCAAGTGTCGACTTGTGTAAATGTTAAATTAAATCAACAGAACTCAAACAGAAGTCAACGCAAGTTTACGCGTGGCCTTAAGCATATGCCGAAGGCCTACATATATACATACATGCATACATGCACACACGGCATATATGCATGCGTATGCATGTCACAAATTGATTCTCTCTTGGCTAATTGAACCGGGTTTTAATAATTTAACATAAAATATATGTATGTACATGGAAAGTTGTTGCTTTTCGTTAAAAAAAAAAGTTGGAGAAGATAATGGGAATCGTACTGTTGACATGCATTACTCGATGTCATCCTCCTTGACCAGCTTGGCGTTCGGATTGTGCTTCAGCAGCTGTTTGTTGTGCTGGTGCACATTGTAGTGGAAGAAGTATTGCTTGCTGTACTCAAAGGTGGAGATCATGATGGCGCAGGCGGGCGCCACCTTGCACAGCCTGGGCACGTACCCGGCAAACAGGCCGCGCAGCCCAAAGAGACGGTAGATGCCGGCCAGGCGGCTGTAGGTGGACTGCTTGCTGAGCTCCTTGGTGGGCGAGTCCGTGAAGATGACGCGCTCGCCGAACTCGATCTGCTCATGGGTCTTGATCACGTCAAAGGGGCACGTGACCAGGGCGGCCACCGAGCCGGCCAGCACGCCGGCCACGAAGCTGAAGCCAAACGAGGGCTCCTCGTCGCACTCGCTGAAGCAGATCTTGAGGTACTCGTAGGCCGGCCAGTAGATGCCCGAGAACGGCACGTCCCGCAGGATGGTGGGCGGCAGGCCGCGCCACAGGCCAGACACGCCCTGGATGGCAATGATGTTGCGCACGAACTGCAGCACCTGGGCGTAGCTGAGCCGCTGCGACTGCATCTTCGTGCGCACCAGCTCGATGGGACTCACAAAGGTGACGGCGCAGATGCGAGCCGTCACACCCGACAGCATGGGCACCACCAGCGGCAGTTTCTGCTCCGGGGTCGTGCCTTTCAGCTGAGGCGGCGCAAAGTGCCGCTGGTAGATGTCGATGTACTTGGCCTTGAACTGCTCATAGGCCACGAAGTAGACCACGGTGGAGGGCAGCGCCGAGACCAGCGTGGGCCCCAGCCCGGACCAGAGGGCGGCCAGGCCTTCCCGGCGACTGATCTTGAGCAGCGCATCCAGGGTGCCCCGGAAATGCGGCTTCATCGTGTTGCCGCCCGCAGCTGTGGACGTCGTGCCGCAGCTGAAGAGATGATCCATCAGGCCGTTGCAATAGAGGAAGCACTTGCTCGGCCGCGACTGCTGCGATTGCTGCGACTGCATGCGGGTCTTGATCACGTCCAGGGGCGTCATAAAGCAGGCGGTGATCATCGCACCAGTGCAGGCCGATGCCACCTGCTGCAGCGGCCGTATTTGGAAGCGCGGGTCCTTCAGCAACTTCTTCGATCGGGGCTTCTCCCGCTCACCACCGCCAACGTCGCCAACCGCCTTGGGCTTGCTGTTGCTGCTACTGCCGCTGCTACTGCTGCTGCTAGGGCTGCTGCTAGGGCTGCTGCTAGGGCTGCTGCTAGGGCTGCTGCTGGGCTCACTCTGGGCGCTTATGTCGGGCTGTAGCAGTTTGTTAATAACATCAGCGTCCTCTTGCTTCGGCATTGCGACGGCGTCGCCCTCGACGTCGGCGTCGGCGTCGGCGTTACCTTTCTGCTGCTGTTTTGGCTGTTGCTGTTGTTGTTTGACAGTGGAGCCGGATGTCGATTTGTAATACAACTTTTTGTGTACAAATTCGAAACGAAGCAAAGCCAACAGCGTGATAGCGTTGCCAGACGTGTGCGTTGCGGCTAGTGAAAGTTACCTCACACTAGGTGGCAGCGCCATGCAGCGTATATCGCAACGAGATGGCAGCACAGCATCTAGTGCCAGCAAATGCATAACATACTGAAGCAATCCATCAATTAAATTTCAATCAATATCTGAACTGGACCAAGCTGTAGATTTTAACATATATTGAGTGCACCGTTAGCCTGTCTATTCCAGAGTATCGTCAAATACATCAGACCCAAACAAAAATTTTATACAAAATATATGGTTCGTAGATAAAATGTTGAAATGTCAGACGTCAGCTGAGTTGTTTCGATATTTGAAACTGTTCACTTGTTGCATTCCGCCTTAATCGCCTCAATTGCCTCTCGTCTTCATCAGCCGAAACAATGTGACAAAATCCATTTTTGCCAATTACCCAGCTGCAATTCGCTATTCCAATTTGCCTAAGCTTAAGCGACGCACAGAGGCTGCCAAAAAGCATAAAGAGGCAGACGCAGCGCCTGCTCTATGTGCGAGCTCCAGTGCTCCACACGTTCGATGGCAACCTGAACCCACCTCAAAGTTATCTGACAAAGAATTTCCAGCAACGGCAAGAAGAACAACAACAACTGTGTATGTATATAGAGCAAAGGCTGAATATTTGTGCTTCTGCTGGCTTGTGTGTTTCGAGCGGGGGTAGGGGCGGGTTGAGGGGGGGACTGCGAACAAAAGCCATGTCAACTCTTGACGGCAAAATAATTGACATCAAAATGATGTGTACGGTTTTCTGCGCCACTGGCGCTGGAATGGAGCACTGGAGCTTTGAGCACTGCGGATCGTTAGTTTATTAACACGAGTGCAAAAGTGCGAATAGGATGGCTAGATTGCAGCTAAAGAGGAAACCAGCGCAGCACAGCGCAGGTGTGCTCTATCGAGGTGGCACAGGTGCAAAGCAGTTGCAGTGGCAAATAGACTAAGAGTAGCACAAGATTTAATATGGACATCGAATGCAGCGAGCAGAGTCGGGAATGGCATACAAGTATATGAGGCAATATTTATATTAAGAAATTAAAAAATATGTATGTAATATAATAAATAAATATTTTCAAGAGCATAAAAAGCTTGTGTTCGATAACAGTGAATTACATTAATATAAGATATTGTTTCATATTTTCACTTGAATGCAAATAAAGATGTTTTATATATATTAATTCAATTTAAAAAAGTGTAAATGGTAAATTAAATATTGAAAAATTGTATTTTTTATTAGATCTATACCTCTGTATAGATCCAAATATTATATTTACCAGAATATAAAAAAATATTTTAAGAGAGAAAAAAGAACACAGAATGTAACATTTAATTTAATATTCGGGGTTCTCTTTTACAACTGCAAAAAACAGAGTTTATTGAAAAATGGATAAAATTTCAAATTTGGTATCCATTTTTATGTAAAAAAAAATGTATAGCTGTATATACACATACATTTATATATATGTATATTTCGTTATCATATATATATATTATGCTTCTATTGACTTGCCTTAAATATATATATATATATAAATATATTATTTTTTTTTTTATTTATATTGAGCATGGGAATTCTGTTGCATTTTTTGTTTTTGGGAATTTGTATGTTACTGAAGGACGCAGGCACTGATTAAACTAATTTATATATATATTCATGATCAGTAGGAAAGTTCAACTCGCCATGTCCCTTTACACACCCAGGTTATAGGGTACGATAATAAAAATATATATATATATTAGATTTAAGCTGTTTCATTGTTAACATTAACATATATTTTATTGATTATTGCTATATTTAATTATTATCACTTAATACATAATCATAATTTACGCCAACTTTGGGCACCACGAAAGCTAGACTCTTCAAATTTATTGGGATAGTTTCTGTAACCAATACAACGCTATTTATGCCTCTTCCCAGTCAACAAGCATTCACAAACACGTATTGCAAATACTAGAAACTTGCTCTATGGCAAAAACTCTCATTTGGATGTCATTATACGAAAGATAAAGATGTCATTAAAAAAATCCATCTCGACGAAAAGTTATTCAAGAATTTAGTTGGCATAATAAATCCCAAAAACTGCCTAGTAAGCAGAGCGCGTGCTTAGGTGTGTGCGTGTGCTTGTGTATACGTGTGGGTGCATATGTTTGTGTGTTAGCATAAACGTTACTTCCTATTGATGTATAAAAAAAAACTCCTGAGTTCCGAGTATCCCTTATTGTGTACACCCGTCTATAAGTCTGCTACTTGTTAAAGATTTTTTGACGAAATATAAAGTACCATTTTTCTAGCAAATCAATTTCCATTTTATCAAATATTATGTTGAAGTAGAAAAGAATAATGGGTCCTGTATTTTTTAATTTTTAAAATGTAAAACCCAACACTTTTGTATACCGTATTATATTAAAAATAAAGTGTCGCATATAAATAAAAAAATAAATAAAGAACTTTTCAATATAAAAAAAAAAAAAAAAAATCAAAAGCTCTGCTGGAACACAGTATACTTTTGCTTCTATTGTCTTCAAAATTTGTTTCATATATGGAAAAACTGTCAACATGACTACTATGAAAATATATACACGAATTTATAGCAAGTTCTTTCCTATGATTATCATCCTGCAACTGTATTTGCTATTAGTCGTATCTGCTTTTGATTTTCCATTAGCTTCCCTGCTATTTGCTCGCACAACAATGTGCTTCAACAATTTGGCAACGTGTTCGTCAACTATTTATAATCCCTATGCCCATCCATATAGAGTGCACTCGCAGTGGCCCTTCAGGCTAGCGTAAGCCTTCGCATGTTGCGACCGGCAGAGCACAATAAGCAAAAGGAAAAAAAAAATAGCAAAAAAAAGTGGAACGCAAACAAATACAAGGACAGCATGTAAAGCATGTCGTAAATCCCATGCATATGTGTGTGCGTGTAGGTAAAGCATGATGGCTGGCAAAATGCGGTGCTGATATGATTACGTTGCAAGAAAAAGAAGAAGAAGCGAAAGTTTTTGGGTAAAAACCACACACACACCCACACACACTTTAAATGGGCCGAGGCTTTGAGCTATGCGAGTAGCTATAGAAGGATGCCGAAACATGCATATGACACAAATACACACACACTCGCACTTAGCAAAATATACGCACACCCGCACACACACACGGACAGATTGTCTTCCATTTATGTGTAGCGCGGGGATATTTGGGAATTCGACACGTAGTTGCTGTGCGGCACGTAGTCAATGGAAGTGTAGGTGGGGGAGGTGTCACGGCGGGTCTGGGGAGCTGGTAATTGTGGTGTAAAACTGTGGAATAACAACACTTAGTTGCTTGCTAATACGAGCACGTGTTTGCTCTGTTACACAACACTGGTGCGCCTGAAAGCCCCCGTATGAACGAGCCACTACTACTCCAACTACATAGTTCCACCCGCAGTCGAGTCGAGGCCGCTGAACAGCTGTCGATTGCATTGCATTGATGGCCAACTATGTTGAACATGGCAAAATAATCAGCTTATGTCAATGTGCCGCTGTGTCGCAATTTAATATATGCGTATTTTTATTTAATTTCTGTCGAAAATAAATTGAATGAAGCGGCATCGAAAATGTGCTTGGCAAACGTTGAAACATTGACGCATACCTCGCATCGCTGCCTGCCGCCAAACGCCATGCGCCATACGCCATTCGCTATCCGCCATCCGCCTGCCGCAAGCCAATTGAAAGCCTCTGAACCGCCAAGCCAAAGAAAACACACACACGCCCACGCCCACACACACAGTGAAAAGTCAGTAGAACCCGTTGTGAGCCAGGCCAAGGAGAAAATGCGCCACCGCGCGCCATTCACCGCACAATTCCATTACGTAAAGCAAACATCAGCTGGCGTTTGGCGTATGGAATCGTCGAGGATTCGCATTGAGATTGTGCTCCTGCTCCTGCCCTTGTTATTGCTACTGCTGCCGCTGCTGCTGCTGTTTTCGTGGCTAGGCGGGGTATCCTGCGGTGCATGGATGGAAAACAGCCAACAGCTAGAGCAGCTTCTGATGCCAGTAAAAGCTACATATTGAATATTGATGCGCATCGATTTCGACTTGAAACGGCGAAAAGTTCAAACCAGCACACATGCATGAGCACACACACACGCACACATACGCACATAGTCTTTGTTTATAATAAAAACATTTGCAATTTCTTATTGCTACACCAAACCATTGACGTTAACACTAGACAACAAAAATAAATATGAATGTGTCCATCGCATGTCACTTTGGCGAATAACTGGAAAATTGTGAATTTTAGTTAGCAGTAAATTGCCTGCAGCACTAGCAGGCATTTAATTAATTTTATACATAGGTATATTCAATAGCCAAAAACTTGTGCATGTACAAATCATTATTAAGTAATTACATATTACATATATTGAAGTGCCTGTTGGTAAACTATTCGACAAGGCTTTAAATTGTCGTGTATATAAAAATAATTAAATTTAAGGCAAGTTAAAGGTTAATCAAAATTGTGTTTATATATGTATATAATTATAATATTCCATTTATTTATACATATATATTAAGCATACATTTTATCGCTATCAGTGAACCTACTACTATATATATAAATTATGTATATATACATAAATATGTGCGAAACACAATTATATAAATTATTTAAATAGAAAATAAATACAACATATTAGGGGACATCCCATTTTAATAAATTCACGGTTCACACTTAAATAAATTTAAGAAATATACAAACATAAAATATGAAAAATTATATGGGTATAAATTAAAGTAAAGAAATTTTAAATCTAATATATAATATGCTAAATAAAGATTTTAAATAATATAATACAGATTTTGTGTGTTTGTTTTAATTTATATAATATATATAAAATAAGAAAAAATTATATGGTATAAATAAATATAAAGAAAAATGGAGTCCAATATTATATAAAGATATATAAATCTAAATAAATATGAACAATTTTTTGTTGTATATTTTCAACTTTTCTGAGTACGTATATTATACGTTTGATTTGATTTAATTGCTATTTCTTTGTATCTCTAAAATTC